TTTTTGATCGTTTGTGACGATTAGAAATATTCTTTCATCAGTAATAAATATAATAACGTATTAACATTCCGGATGTCTATGAAATACTTATCTTTTCCTTTGAATAGTAAATGCTTCCTTTTCTATTTTCATCAGAAGGGAGGTCAAAAAAAAACATTTGGCACTAGCTATCATTAAAGACAACGAGTTTAATCATTACCGAGATTTTTCATCAGCATACGAATTAATAAGAAGAGAGAAATACATAATGTCATGTTTTATCGAGTATTTTGTCGATGTTTATTTCATGTTTACTAAGTCTTTCATAGTTATTCTAAAGATATATTGTCATTGTGCTTTTCTTTTTTGATCTTAAAAAGAAATAAATTGTATAGCCAAAGGTAATATAAAAACAATATTTGACATATTATTATATGATTTTCTATATAACACATTATGATGTATGTGTAGTCACTTTATTTTTCACGATCAACTACGATTACGGTTATTGCCTTTACATTTGCCCATAAACATAATATTTCTTTCCTTTTATTATTATTATTTTTTTCATCTGATTGAAGAGTAGTTATTTTTTTATTTATAACATTGAATGGTTTATTTGTTTATGAAATATTTCTATCTTGTAATATTCATCATGAATAAAAAAAAAATATTCGTGTTTATGTATGGGGTTTCCGGTGTAATAAATTTTGTCCTTCAATGCATATTTCATAGATATTTTATCTGTATTATTAGCTATTCTTTGATCACCTCGTGGCCATTTAATTTTTGATTTGTCTACGCTCTAGTGATTCTTGTTAGTGATATTTGTCTTTAATACTTGAACATATATGAAATAATCGATTTGTTGTCTTTTTTTAAAGATTTCGTCGTAATTATATATTCAGTGTTATCTTATTTGAATAAAGATCGATAATGTTAATCATAGGATATTAACGATGACAACTTAGGATTGACGCATTTTTCTGCTTTGATTAGGTAAATAAACTACTGTTGTTTTGTTCCATCAATATTAATAGCTAATAACGGAAGAATAGCTTTGTTGATTATTGATTATGTTTAATGTATTCTCAAAAGTCTTCGTTATTATTTATTATCATCAGTTTTTTTTTCTCATGTTCAAAATATATTCAAATTAATGTTCAATTGTATTTTATTAATCAAACTAATGCATCAAATAGAAACATTATAAACTAATATATTAATTGACTCTTAAAATAGATATGTAGATATATATCATTCATCAGGAAAATCCATTTTATTATTAGTAAACCATTGCATAAATATTACCAACCACGCGCATCAAGTAAACAAGAGAAAAGAGAACGAAAATATTATTATATTTTGTTGGCCACATTTTTAAACGCCACTATCGTAACATCATCGTCGATGTATCGTTTCTATTTCCTTACATTGGCTGACAAGTATTCGTCTAAGTTTGATAAGCAATGAGGCGAAGCCAGTAGCATATGTATATGTGTATGTGCTTACTTTTCTATATCACATCATACCGTTGAAACTATAAAACAACGAATAAAAACGTGTCGACAATTAAGTTTTTCTGAAAGTTTTGTACTTCAGGTAAAATGTATTAATCAATAATGTTTTTTTTTTATTACAACCTTATTCAGTAAAAATTTCATAAATTTATCTAAAAATTAGAACAAAATAGACATTCATTAGCATGAAAAAAAAAGATAAATGTTTAATTTCATTCTAGTAATAAATATAATGAAATGAGAAATATAATATGATGATTATTTTGGAAGAATAAAAATATGATGATGATCTGAATAGAAAATAATAACAGATGGTTGAAGTATGTTAATAAAATAGCATCACTTATGACTTCTTAAATAAGCAAAGAACTAGGAAAAGTATTAGTCTTTTTCTTTTTATTTCTTTTTTCATTGTGACAACATATTTTTAACAATTATTTTCACTAAAATTTCTAGTACATGAACAGTCTAAAATTATGTCTAGTCATTGACTTCTATCGTTTGAAATATCAAAAAACAAAATATGTACGTGTTTTGCTCTTCGATGATATCTAACGCAATAAGCTTTCTGACGTTTAGTTGACGTCGTTCGAACTAGTCTCAATGAAGAACGAAAAAAGAACGAATAATAATGAAGGTTAAACTCGAATATATAGGTTCAAGTTCATTTTACAACTTTCTTTTGCTGAAAAAATAATATCATTTGATTTACGAGACTAAGATTAACAATCTTTGATACTTCTAATATGTTGTTCATAATGGAAAATTTTCAACACAATGTTTTTTTTTGTACAGGAGTCTAGTTACTATTTTACATATTGAAAAGATACTACTAACTAAATTAAGATAATCTTCTTTATAAGATGCAATGAATTAAAGTTAAATCTTCACAGATTTTGATATGAATATCAAGTAAAACTAATTAAAAAAGAAAATTAATCATGTTTGTTCTACTTTTTTTTGGTTCATTGATTTATTTCTACATTAGTTTTTCTAAACTAGGGGTTTCTAAAACATATGGAAAAGCATTCGGATTTAAAACGATAGTAGACAAATAAATAAAAAATATTCGATGTAGTTATTAGTTTTTTTTCATTTTATTTAGAATATCTTATAATATATTTGACACAAGTGAGAAAATGTTGAAAAAAAGATTTTTTTAGAGTAATTTAAGAATTTCGTATCTCTCACATAAGGAACAAATTGTTCATTGGTTTAGATATCGCTAAAAATAGTATGACAAATAAATGAACATAGACATCTTCTCCAATAGCTAGCAGGATTCAAATAAGATATATATAGTATCTATATCCTTTAATTACTTTATTAATGGAAATTGAAGTTTCAATGTAATGATGACATAGTTTTATATTTCAAGCATCATTCTTTCGATTAAGATTGTTTCATATTTATGTTTTAATTAAAACTCTCGTGTGTAACCAGATTTGACATGAGATTGAATTTCTATCAATCTCAGTGTCGTCATGACAGAAGGCCGGTAATTAATTAAAAAATGAATATACATGATATCACTATCGAGATTTCAATTACAAGTATTCATCTATTTTTCTACGTGTTTGACGCTAATTATCTCATAACTTTTAACTATTAGAAAATTGCGATGTTCTATGTTCGAAATCTTCTCTAGTTATTTTGCGTTTATTTGTTTTATTAGCATCTTCCATCTTCATTAACTAAGTGCAAAGAAATTAAGAAATAGAATTCACTAGATATGATAAAGCTGCCAGACTTATTTTCTATGTTCACATCTAAGAATATGACGTATTTTGTAAAGTAGATTAAATATTGCGTGTATATGAGACATTTTTAGAATAAACATGACAATCTTCTCAAACATTTTCAACTGATTCCAATTCAATAATATGTGATTTTTCTATAAAATGAGCAAACGATCATCACTAGATAGAATATTCTAGACAAGATATGATCTCTAGTATCGATGTCTTTGACTCGATATGTGCTATCTGATGCTCTTCATTGTTCCCACGCTTAGAAATGTGCATGTATCGTCGATGAAAAGAACGACAAAGCAGTCTATACATTTATGTATATTTTCCTTGCAGTTTTGCGTATTTCTGACAATTTGTTATCAACAACGACAAGAAAGAGCAAAATAAACCACACATGTTTACTACAAATAGTTTTACGACATGTATTCATGGATTGATTGAATTGATCCTAGAATCTTTCTTTGTCTAACCCTACGACATTTTTCATTCTTCTTTTTATTCTTATTTATTCCCTTGACACATCCATTCTCTCTCTTACTTTACTATTTGCTAAGGTCAATCATATAATTTATCTTCTTCTACTTTTTTTTGCACCTTTGCTATGTTTACTTCTTCAATTTTCCTTCGTGAGGTCATCAGAGTACGTTCAAAAAATACAATAATATTACCTACGAGACAGAACTAGTTTTAAAAGAATATTATTTTTTTCTTTTCTTTTCTTAATAAATTCAAGAAGTCTTGACGTTTTTCATATCTCGATTCATTATACTTGAGTAAAGAAGAAAGAAGAGGCGTAGAAAAATTATATTCAATAGGTATGTTATTTAAAAGTTTACAAAATATGATCGTTATAAAAAGTATTATTAACGGTTATATGACACTCAAATGAAAACGGTATAGAATGAATAAAATACTTATAAGGAATGAAGACGAGCGAAAGAAATCTATTATAAAAGTTGAGTGGCTTTCTTTTTATTTTAGAACGTAAGTTATTCATACAATTAATCTAAAAATAATCATATGATGGAAAAAGAAAACGAAGAAACCAAATAAATTTTTTGAGGTGTACTAAGTGCTTATCTACAGTTTAGAATTGGTGTATTCTTTGAATATTAATCATTGACTCTTTCAATTTTGAGAGTTAGAACTGAACAGTATTTAAAGGAGGTCGAGTCTCTTTCCGCTATGCATGGCTTCGCAACAAAACACACATATAAATACTATTGTATGGTTAAGGATAATCATTTTCATTTTCATATACATTTTACTTGACTTTTCATGTTTCTTCAGCAAGTCAAGTAGACTTAACAATTTCATTCTGCCGGAGCTCAGCTATCTCAAGCCTCCACTACTAATTCTGTAGATGGTCGTAGTGAAACATGCTAATGGTTGTCCATATAAGATAGAGAAGTGTTAGTGAATTATTTTTTTCAGAATTCTCAAGAGAAACTTCTATTATTATCAGAGATATTCTTATTTGATGTCTTCGTTGGTTATACCGATCCGTATGTATATAAGTTTAGTCGAGTAACAAATTAGTTCGATAAGAAAAGAACGAAAAAAAAAAAGAAAAAAAAAAGTCGATTTCTTCTTTTTTTATGTCGATCAATGCAATGACGCACAAAATACGACATATGTCTACTAAAAATAAGTGCCTTTTCTTTCTTTCTAGATTGTCATACTCATAACAATGATAAACTCGTTTTTTCATTGATAGTCGATAATAATAATAAAAAAAAAAGATGTGACGATGACTAACGAAACTTTACTCTATGTTCGTGAAATTATTCGCAAACCCAGTGACTATAGATCATTTAATACAACAACTGGTATTTATTCATCATCCGTTATTAGCCAAACAGTAAACAATCCTGATATATCACCAGTAGCATGTATCGGTTTTGCCGTACTTATATTAACTACGGTAATTGGTAATACACTTGTGCTAGCAGCACTTTTTCTCGATAAAAGACTTCATACACCATCGTTTTGTCTCATTGCTAATATGGCTATTGCTGATTTATTACTTGGTAAGAATTTTTTTTTTTTTGAAATACGAAATTCATCAATGAAAATACTTTTAGGTGTATCTGTCCTTCCATTTTCGTCCGTACTCGAACTTCTGGATAATCGTTGGATTTTCGGAGAAAGTTTTTGTTCAGCATGGCTTGCACTTGATGTGCTTTGTTGTACAGCATCAATTATAGGTTTAGCTGGTGTATCTATTGATCGATATATTGGTGTAACACGACCATTAAAATATAGTAGAATAATGACCATACGACGAACGATTTATTTAATACTTATTATTTGGGCTGCATCAATTTTAACATCAGTTGTACCATTATTTGGTTTAACTGATCGAGGAACGCTATTTAAAAAAACTAATTCTTCACATGAAGTTTCAGAAAGATGTGAAGTTAATAAAAATACATTTTATACATTATTTTCTTCAACGATATCATTTTATATACCAGTTATAATACTTCTTATACTTTATTCACGTATATATCAAGAAGCAAAAAAACAAGGAAACAAATTAGAAAGTGAAAAACGACGTCTTTATGAAATTGATTATCAAATAGCGGCTGAACATCTTCGACAACAAAAAAGTCAATGTAATGGATATGCAACAAAAAATCGAATTTCTTCAAATAAATCAGATGATATTAAAAATGATGTGTCAGTAACACTTCTAAATCCTGAACCGATTCCTGATGAAGAGACTAGTCTCAATCGTACTTTAACGTCAACCTATAAAGGTCCATTGAAAAAAAATTATTCAGATCCTCAGGTATCAATGAATAAACTAATAAATATGACATTTTTTTCCTAGGTTAGATAACATTTGAAATAGAATACGAAACAAACAGTGTTTGTTAAAGGAAAACAAACGGAAACCCACTTATAAGAATACTCTAGAAAAATAAGTAAGACGAAAGAATGAACAAACAATTCACTTCGATGACTAAAGATCAATTAAAAGAAAATAGCAAAATAGATGAAAAAGATTTACTTTATTGAAGATAAAAAAACGTTTTCTTTTCATAAGGTGCTAATTGATTTTGTTTTTGAGTCAAGACGATAATGGAAAATCTTAATTTTTTTAAGTTCATAATGCAAGATGAATTTATTTTTAAGTATACTAATAATAGAGTAGTCGACAAGAGTTCCGCTACTAAGTAAAAAGTACCTAATTGTGAATTATTTGGTCTCATACTTTGACGATCAATAGAACGTGATAAACTCTGATTCTAACTAATAATTATGCCTTGATCAACCTTTACGCAAAGACGCAAAAAAGGTCGACATAGTTTTTTTTTATTTTGACAAGGATCTTCGAGCATTAATACTAAATCTCGTAACGTTTTACTCCTTATTTAAAAGCTCAGTGTTAGCTCTATGACTGATAAATATGTTTTGTTCAGCGATTATAATTTGTTTGATTTAGGAAGTTATGTTTGACTATTCTTAGAAGAAGAATTAATAGGATTCATCAAACAAGAAACTTTGAATCATGAATTTTTTTAAACGTTTACTTAGAACTTTTCTCCAGTGAGTTTTCTGTACTAATAATCAAATATTGTATGAAAATGTCATGATTATAGCCATTGGTAGAATGAAAATCTAGGCGAAGACGATGTCAGATAAGAGAAACGTTGTTGTACATCAGGAATACATCAAAGACATATGAGATTGTATCTATCAATAAAAAGATGAATATTAACGCTATAAAACAGTAACAAATCAGAGATGTAAATTCAAGAATAAAAACAATGTTTTTATTCTAAATTTGATCAATTAAGACCGAAAAACCTCAGATTGACGCTTTTCATCAGAAGTTATAAATCGATGTTTGAAGTAAAGATATCAGCCGAAACAATTCCAACCTAAATATATTTTTACCTCGTAGCGAAACTTTTGGCGACTACAATATAACTATTATTAGCCACTAATGGTTTTCATTATGACAAATGACATTGAAGTTTTGTAAAATTTTGTTGTTCAACATTTTGATCTGCCACTTCTCTATCCAGACTTAATCCATGTGATTTAGATCGGACAAAAACTATCGGTAGATCAGTAATCAACCGATGGCAACCCGATACTTAAACGGTTGACTACCTTTTGATCGGCATTCTACTTCTCATACACCATCAGTAGTGCAAAACAAACGTGTAACATGGGAATATTTCTTTTTAATGCTGAATTTTATTCGTGACATCCATACATCTTTTTGTGTTTTTGTATAATTTTTTGCGGACGCTTACGAAACATACGAGTCAACAGACAAGATTACGATGACAAACAGAGAAAAAATGACAAGAAAGCGAAAACGAACTGAACGAAAATCGAAATCGAGGCAGCGATGACGAGGTTGGCGTGCATTATTGTTCTTATGGGAATATTTAGAGACATATCAGTATCAAATAAAGTTATAGAAAAGTCCAGAAAGGTTTGGTTTTTGAGACTCTCGTTCTTGAGACATTGAAATTTTACTGCGTTTTTCATTCCACTCACATCACGTAGAAAATCTACTTTCGAGTTTCAATTCCAAGTTTCGTACGAACAAAGTTCCTAATAAGATTACTTCATTTGGCAAGTTTTAGCTTTCCTTTCAAAAGATGTAAATATATAAACATAACTTTCCAAATTAAGCAATGAATTAATCTCATTAAGAACTTTGATCATACAAAGTTTGAAGTCGAAACTTGAAAGTCGACTTTCCATGTGACCTGAGAGAGATGGAAAACTCAGTACGGTTTTTGATATTTCAAGAACGAAGGCTCAGAAAACAACATCATTCAAGACTTTTCTGTTAGTCACTAGTACTCTTCAAATAAATATCGTCTCGAGCAATAAGTGATTTGACGTCTGGAGGAGTTTCCTCGTAAGTCTCAAACTGTTTAGCAATTTAGAATGTTGGACACGAATAAAACATTCCTGTCCAGATGTCTATTTTATTCAATGTAATGGCGACGCTTCTCCATCGGTTGTATTGGTTCTCTCTTTCAAAGTTCGTACTTATTTCCTTATTTAAAATGTGTTTGTCTTCCTGGAGTTGTAAAACACCCTTTCGGAAGAAAAAAAACATTAGATAAAATATTCATTGAAAAGACATAAGAATTTTTCTTCATGTATCCTATTTGAAAAAAAAAATAATAAATTTTAATTATTTTTCAATTTTCAGAATACTCCCGATGATGATGCATCTCATTCTGGCTCTTCACTTGCTCCTCGTAAAAATCGAATCCGTTGTTTTCTTGATAAAAATCTATTTACAACAATAAGACGAAATTCTGCTCTTAATACTTCTCATCTTCCAAATTACAATAGTCAAATGTCATCATCCGATGAATTAGCTGTAATAAAACATAAATTACATAATCTTAAATGTGAAAAAAAAGCTTTTCGTACAGTTGGCCTTATTCTTGGTGCTTTACTTATATGTTGGCTTCCATTTTTTGTAACATTGCCTCTTATGTCAATACTTAAAGATTATGAAATGATTCAAGATGAAAAGGCTGCAAATATATGGTTTAAAATTACTTTTTGGCTTGGTTATATCAATTCAGCAGTAAGTTTTCAACAAAAAAAACCAACAACAATATTAATATTGTTTTATTTGATTTATTATTTCCTTTGTTTTGTTTTTAAAAGCTTAATCCATTTGTGTATGCTTTTTCAAATCGTGCAATTCGTCGAGCATTTCGCGAAGTGATATTTCGTCGCTTTTGTTGTTGCATTTGTCGAAAGAAATCAAATCAGCACAATGAACAAAACATGGATCGACGTCGCGGCAACCGTGGTGGTTCATTGCCAACAGACACATCACAAATAACTTTGAAACGAAAATGTTCATATACAACCGATACTGTTCGATCAATACCAAAAAGAGAAAGTAGTCTTGAAACTTCATCTCCTAAACCAGTTCGATCTCCTAATACTAGCGGGCCAGTTGTTTCGTTTGCTGAATTTCTATCTGAAACGGATGATGATGATGATGATATTACATCTCATGATAATGAAAAACCTAATTCAGAACTTATTCCAACATCAGCCGAGAAAAATACGACATTGACTTCGAATTCTTAAACCAAAAAAAAAGCGAAAGAAACAAAATATTTTTTTTCTTGACTCAATTTACCGGTGAATTCTTGTATTTTTGTTTTCTTTCATTAATTATTTGTTCTACATAAATAAAATCTTGTCTTTTTCTAGTTCCTACTACGACTATTTGTGTATAACTTGCGTCCATTACTTTCCATTACAATAATTTTTATGTCTTTTTCATTTATTTATTGCGTGTTTTTTTTTATTGTAAAAAAAAACAAGTTTATTTTAGAAATACGATCTTTACTATATTATATAATTTTTAAAAACATCTGAAGACAAATCATATGATGAAAATTATATTAAATATACAGCAGCTATCTATAGGGTGTCCGAAAAGTCATTAGAGTTAGGAAAATTTGGATATCTCCATTACCACTCGTCCAAACGAGCTCATTTTTTTTTTTACCAAGGATAGAGGCATGCTTACACTCCAAATCCATACGGACAATGGTATTGAGAATCTTTGTTAAGTATCACTATCCAACTCAACAAAAAAATTTTATTTTTTCACCGACAGAAAAAAACAATATACTTAAGGCCTCACCCTCCCCTCAAAAATGTCACTTTTCGTCAGAATCATCGATATTGAGATAAATGCATAGGAAGATAGCCCGTGATCTGATCTTTCATAAATGACAAAAATTTTATCGGCACCTTGTTTTTTCCAAAAATTTTTGAAGATTTCCGTCATCCTCTAACATGCGGTGCAAAAGTCTTTGCAAAAATGTTCGACTCTATTAGACCATATTGCCAACTTCTAAACCAATCAAATTTTTTTTTGTTGGAAAGAGCAATGTCTGAACTACAAATTTTGTACCAGACATATTTTTCCAAAATGAATCTCAGAAGGAGGAAAAGGCAAAAACCAAATACCTCTAAAAAAGCTTTTGCAACGTTTTTACAAGTTGAACAGTTTTTATTTCTCAATTATTTTGAGCTACATAGACCGGATTCTAACAAAAAATACGCCATATTATACCGCATCAAAAGGACTATTTATATCAGCTTTGGTAAAATTTTTTAGATCAATTCTCGACTCTTTAATCAAAAACATTTGAAAATTGAAATTTTTGTAAATGGGAGTCTTTTGCAAGAACTATCGCTTTGGAAGCACATTAGCCACAACTCCTAACAATCATGCATGAACTCAATTCTTTGTGCGTTATTTGTTCTAAATACATCAAATTATAAAAACTAAGCAGAAAAAAACAATTCAAAAAGTATTTTTTATTGATGGAAAACGGTCAGGTAGCTGGAACGATCAAACTGCGCAGTTTCTTTCAGAAAAACCTATATTTTGGTATAAAATCTAAGAGTAAATTTAGCTTCCAATATACCATTGGAAACAGCACTCTTTTTGCTACAAAAATCAACATTAAACGTATTTTTCCGTTTCTCTTCTGATATAAAAAAAATAACAAAAAAGAGAAAATGATATTGCGCGATACCGAAGCAGAGATGTCCATCGCGGCGCTGCCGCGCCGCTGCCGCGATGGCCTGTGGCGGCAGCGGCGCGGTAGCGGTAGATTTTTTAAAAATCATCGCGGCAGCGGCGCGGTAGCGGCAGGTTTTTTAAAAGACCATCGCGGCAGCGGCGCGGCAGCGGCAGGATTTTTTTGGGGAACATTGAAAAACTGCATGAATTTAATAGAATTTCAGGGTTTACAAATGAAACACCCCGAGACTGAATGAATCTGATGGTCTAGTACCAATATCTCTGGTCAAATATAGTCGCAGCAGTGAAATTAGAAACACTTTTGTAAACCGCCGCGGCAGCGGCGCGGCGGCGGCACGTTTATTTTATAATTCATCGCGGCAGCGGCGCGGCAACGTTTCTTTTATAAGCCATCGCGGCGCGGCAGCGCTGCGGCAACATTTTTTTATAAACCGTCGCGGCGCGGCTGCGGTGCGGCAGCTTTTTTTTTCTAAGGCCGCGGCGCGGCAGCGGCAGATTTTCAGCCGCGATGGACATCTCTGTACCGAAGTTGCAAGAACTTTTTTGGAGGTATTTGGTTTTTGCCTTTTCCTCCTTCTGAGATTCATTTTGGAAAAATATGTCTGGTACAAAATTTGTAGTTCAGACATTGCTCTTTCCAACAAAAAAAAAATTTGATTGGTTTAGAAGTTGGCAATATGGTCTAATAGAGTCGAACATTTTTGCAAAGACTTTTGCACCGCATGTTATTCGAAAAATAAGCCATTTTGGAAAAAACCGAAAATCTTTTTCGTTTTTTCTCAGTTTATGCTTTCGTGAACGCGCAAACAAGAGTTCTTTGTCTAGGCTCTTTCAATATATTTATTTTTTTTTTGTTTGAAGGAGCATGTCAAGATGCAGTGTCTACCAGAGTCCTTTTTTTAAATTAAGCTTGATTTTTATTATATTTACAGTCACTTATGTAAATTGGCACCCATTTTAGCGGGTTTTTTGAGTCATTGAACTTGCGAACTCTCTTCTTCGCTTAAAAAGTAAGAATTAAAAGAAAAGAACTCTGATAGGCACTGCATCGTGAGATGCTCTTTCAAACAAAAAAAGAATTTTTATATATTGAAAGAGCCCGGACAGAGAAATCTTGTTAGCCAAATGAGCTATTTTTGACCCTTGTTTGATGCATATCTCTGTCAAACATCATGGTATCGAGCTAAAAATTTTACCATAGCCTCTCCACTACAGTCCCAACATATTCTGAAAATTTTATGCCATTTGAACGTAGCTGGGCTGAGACCGGTTTTTTAGGGGGAAGGCCTTAACAAAGGTTCTCACTAACCTTGTCAGTATGGATTTGAAGTGTGACTATGCCTCTATCCTTGGTAAAAATATCAGCTGGTTTGCTCGAGCCGTAATGGAGATATTCAATTTTCTTTTCAATAAAGTGTCTTTTGCGCTATCCTGTATATTGTTTTTTCCTACTTGCGAAACAGTAAAATTTTCTTGTTGAGTTCAATAGTAATACTTAACAAAGGTTCTCAATACCCTTGTCCGTATGGATTTGGAGTGTGAACATGCCTCTATCCTTGGTAAAAAAATGAGCTCGTTTGGTCGAGCCGTAATGAAGATATTCAAAGTCTCTTTGTCTAAGGACTTACGGGACACCCTATATTTAAAATTGAAATTTAATAGAATCATAGTGCAGAGAGATGGGCAAGTGCGGATTCTCTCAAATAAGAGTATAGGAACAGCGAAAATTGCAATCGAAAACGAAAAATTAGTTGTGGATTATGGATGGGTGAACTTTTAGATAAGATCGAAGTCAAAAGATATTAGCTGTCTGCTTCAACTTTGAAGCGTAGAAATTGGTACTTAGTGTCGCTTTCATGTAGCATATTTTGTGTAAAAAGGCAGCAGCAGATGAAACCAGTTTCCAGCTCTCAAAATATTTTAGTTTTCTTGCGATCAAAACAATCTAGTGATGACATCGGACAACATTCCAAAGCTTGATTTCACAACGCTGCCAGATTAATTGTTTTTGTCAGATCCATACTTCTTTACGAAGTCAAGAAAATCGTGACCATCTCTCTAAGAAGAATAAGCGTAACTTGAACAATTGATCGAGAGATGTTGCAAAATAAACTGTCAATGTGATATTGAGAGTCGTCCTTAGTATGATTTCAATGTAACAAACCTGAGGAATATTGGGGGTGAGAAAACTGTCTTAACAGTCCTCAACTTATAGAGTGCTTGAGACTTGAATACGTGTACGAGTATAAGTACTTCAAGTATGTTGCCCATATCTGATAGAGTACTGTTTGGACTTTCAATATATTTATAGAAGCGATTTTTTCAAGCCTTCTATAAAATATTACAACTCCATCAAGACCGACCACTTATCAACATATAATGGTCGGAATCAACTCGTGACTGATTGGTACATAGCTCTTATCGTATTTTAAGTATTTTTGTTTCATTTTTATATTAAACTAGCAGTCGCTAGAACTGGCAAAGATACTTATTGTAACTCTGTTCTGCAAGGAATTAATGTCGAAATATTTCCTAGATATCGAAACAAACAAAACAACAGTTGAGATAGTAAAATAATAAAAGAAGGATGATGTTGATGAAGAAAAATTCGAATTACCCAACATTAACCCTAATATGACAACTTAACAAATCTCAATATGAGAACGCTCAGAATAATTCTAATCTAATACTATATTGATACGAAAAATGAACGGATATTATCTTATCCATCAAAATAAGCATACCATCTATACATAATATTCTAAAAATTCGCTAGCAAATAAAGCTTGAATAATCTTTCATTAGGTTAATCGATCACTATATTTCTCTTATCATTTAATTTCATAGTCATTTAAGTTTTATTCAGCATTTTTCAGATGCAATGTCTGCACCTATGAACATTAGAATACAAATTGTTTTATTAGTAGCCAAATGTAAATCACCTACAATTGTTAATGAAAGAATTTTGTCAATGCTTTTATCAAACTAATCATGTACTAAACTAGACATATTCAGAACGTCTTGCAGTAATGGCACCAGAAAAAATGGCTGAAGTTCATGTTGGTAGTGATAGTATATTGACATCAAGCTTTTTGACTGGTTACAAAGTTTAATCAGTGAATAGCTTCACAAAACGAGACTACTTCGAGTTTTAACAATACAATATACCAATTTTCGAGCAACATTTTTTCTATCATGAGGAACTCTAAGAGAGGTGATTCCATTTGATAAGCTTCAGGATTATGTCACTTGATGCTGTTTGACTTATTTTTGTATGGAAATGCATGAGAGATGACATCTTCTAAAGATCATGCTAAAATAACAATAAGAACCGGTAATGAAAATACTATGATTTTGCAGAAAACTGTACGCAACGGATTTGCGTATTGAAGTGGAGTGCGCTCATTTTGAAAGGTGGACCCAAATGAAATTATCTAGAAAGCTCGCGGATAACATTTCATTTGTTCTAAAGTTATTCATGTTCTTTTTTTTACCGCGAACTTGTGAAACATCCTGTATATTCAATTTCATTCATTTTAGAGCATCTATTGTCTAAGAATTATTTGTAGTAGGATCAATAGTAAAATAAAGAAGATCTAATATAAGACCATCGACTATAAGCACTATATTGTTCATCATCCGTCAATTGAAAGAAAAGCTATAACAAAGTTAAACATTAGTTTTTTGCCATTTCGAACTATTTTTATGCTGATTATTTGGGTGTATTCTGTTTATCTTTGATTGTTTTTGATAATGTCTCAAGTACACAGCATACTATCAAGAGTAAAAAAATTTTATTTAGAAAAGTAAAAGATAAAGCGAGATAAAACAAAGAGTTCAAGTTGTATAAATCATTAATTAAAAATATGACAACAAATATTTAAGCTCTGAAAAATTTATTGGTCTTTTACAGTTGCTCTACACATTTCGAAAAATTAAATATCGATAATTCCGATGCGCGTCAAGTGATTCCTTCCTGCTCTACTGTGGACTGCTTATCTTATTTATTGTATTTGTATTTCTATTAACATACATCAGTTCACAGTTAATGTTTTGTAAACGACTCTATCTTTGAGAATAATTGCTATAATAAAATAAAGCGAAGATTTTATAGTCTATGGAAAGTCGGAAAAGATTCATTTCATACTACTTTGTCAGCTGTGTAAATTTGCATAACAGAAGATAGCTTCTTTTTTCTTCTGGTCTATGTTTTTATGTCTTTTTTTTTTCCTTATTTGTTTATTTGTCAATACTTAGACGCTTTTTATAGCTGCATATGTTTCGTCTGAATGAAAAATAAACTCATAATAACATTCCTTAATATATTCCACTTCAGATTGATGTATATTTCGATAAGGAATAACAAACGTCTCATTAATATTATTATCAAGGTTGTATTCATATTGAACAGTAGAAATTAGTTGTGCATATCGTCAAAATCAGATGTGATTTATAGAAAAAACAGCTTTTATGCTTTAAACTTTATTCATTGTTACAACGAATATATCATAAAATGCATGACATTTTGCACTTTCTTGCAATATATATATATATGATATTTAAAAATAAATGAATTATGCAAATAAAAGCAAAAAAAAAAAGGGTGGGAAACCAATTCACCCTACTGTAATATACATACTTCTTTAATAAAGTATTATTATAAGAAAAAATAGTGGAAGCACATAAACTTCTTGCTTTGTTCATGATGTGTTTTTGCAATCGATAGTGCCATATATTTCTTCAGATACATACTATTATGTAAGCTTTTCACTTATTCTGCAGATCTAACAATTTTCTTCTCGATTCATTTTTGCTGTCTATTGATGAATACAAGTAGAGAAACTTTTCTATCCATCTTGAGTATTGAACTGCGAATGAAGAAAACTTTAAGAATCCATGTCGTGAAAATCGTCTAAGTTTGAATGATAAATCACGATACTGGAAAAATCATTCATTCGCCAAATATTTCTCTTTCCTAAAAAGGATGACTCCGAAACTATTTTTAGACTTAGATAGTTTTTCTTATATCTAGAACATGCATACTAAATATGTGTTAATAGGTTTATTTTAGCCTACAAAAAACAAAGAAGCACAAAGATTTATCGTTTATACACTCAAATCATCTCATTTTACTGCATAAGCTATGCACAGCTATACAATACGACGTTACATATACAGCTTGCTTTTCTTATCTTCATGCGAAAGAAGAAAAAGAAGTACTTTATTTAATATTTGTAGATCAATAAAAATCAAAGTATTTTAGAATATAGATGCAACAACAATGTCAGTGGTACTTATGTTTAAAATCGTATTGAAAATTTTTACTTAATCTATTCTGAAACAAGTTCTTTATTTAATAATAGTATTGTGATTAGTAAGTGTTGCCTTTGACGAACGTAACACACTCTTCTCTAATATGTGTTGGACAACTTCATGATTATCATTGCCATATGCATTAGATTTATCACATATGAAGCTGATGATAGTCATTAATCAATATAAGTATCAGAGAGCGTTTGAGTACAGTACGAATTACGAATGATAAAATGTCGTTAATAACTCTGGATTTCTAATAAAAATCGGCAAAAATCGTCTTTTTTAGACGTATTCATCACGATATCATCTCACACTTAATCGGTCTAATAAAATTACTAGAAAATCATCGATTTTTACCATATGGAAATTTCTTCGTATTGTTACTACGAAAAAATATCATTAGTATAATTAAATTAATGACATTTAGAGAAAATTTCCCTTCACTTTAACCTTTTATTTCTTTTTGGAATATGTTGACAAAAAAGTATATATTTAAATAATAACCTAATGTATCTGGATCATTAAATTCATTTAGATCAGAGTATTTTAATTTTTTTAATGCGAAAATAAATGGAAAAGGAAAAGAAAAAAAAAAAGAAATAAAGAAAACTTAGAACAAATTGAACTGCAAAGGCAAAAAAAAAGACAGAGAAAGGAATTTTGTCCAAGATGATCAAGCAAGGACCTGCACATATGTTGTTGCGAAAAAAAAAGAAAAGAAAAGAAACTTAGATAATCAGAAAGACAGACAATTAAAAAAAACGAACAAAAACACACTGCACAAATGGACACCTGATAGCGCGACGCTAATGGACGCATATCTGAGTGTAGGATATTAGATCATAGATGGGTGGCGTATTGCAGTGTATATATTAAAATTTAAGAAAAGAAAAATCGGTGAAACGATTACATTGAAATAATAAGAAAGAAAAAACATTCAAGATACTGTTCTATTCAATACACAATATATTTTGTTTTTTTTTTTGAAATATTACCGCCAAATACTCTTCATTAGGTTAGCTAGAATGTGTGTGTATGTGTGCAAAACAAACTATTCAAAAAAAAAAGAAAGAAAAGAACAACAAAGACAGTACGGATACAGACAGCTTTTTTTTTGCTAATGACTATAAAGCAAAGAAAGTACGTACATTTGAATACACTTATTTGGAATATGCACGAACTGTTCAATGCATGCAATCATAAATACAAACATAAGAAGAAGAAGAAGAAGAAGAAAAAAAAAAATAAAGAAAATTGAGAATTGGTCTAATATTAAAAAGAAACAAAGAATTTTTCAAACATGCACACACACATAATTTAATAATACGTTTCTTGTTCAACCCAACCGCCTGGATTTCGACGTATAATAAATTTTCGTACTTCATCATAAATAAAAATTGCTAATGAAAATGGCATTGCAGGTAACCACCATAGGAATCTAAAATTAAGATTATTGAATGAAAGAAAATCAAAACAAAAAACTTTTTTAACCGCCATTGGTTTTATACATACTTAAGTGGATACATATTAAGACCTTTGTCAAGATAAGGTGTATAGCATAGAAAAGCAGCAAGTACAGTTTCAAAAACTAAACCAAAATTAAGCATCCAATTGCTATGAAGATAAAAAAAAGAAAAGAATTTATATTAATTAAAACGAAAGATAGTTTGAACTTACGTCATGCCTTGATGTACTAAAGAATTTCGTCGTGTTTTACAAATAATTAAATCAGCCCATTGTACAATGACAATAGAAACAAAAAAAGCTGTATGACATGTATATTCAAGTGTTTTACGTTGATTAAATGTCTAAAAATAAATAGAAATATAAGATTTTATTTTTGTTTTATTTTCTATAAAATGAAATTCAAATAAATTTATTACCCATTCTTGACCATATGAATCTTCAAGATCATTTACTGCTTTTGATTCCCATGATTTACGTAAACCAAGTAAACGACTTGGCCAAAAACCATTTTCAGCCAAAATAACTAAATAAACAAAAAATCCGGCTGATGCTTGAATCATACCAATTTGACCATATGCCATTGAAATTAAACTATAATTAAATAACACAAATAAACAAAATAAACATTTACTATATATACTCACCGTTCATTGACAAGACGATCATGTTTTGGATCTCGTGGTCGTCGTTTCATAATGTCTGTTTCTGCTTTTTCATAAGCTAATGATATAGCCGGTACCATATCTGTACCCAAATCAATACATAAAATTGTAATTGTACCAAGTGGTAATGGTATATCCATAATAAGATACATTAAAAATGGTGTAATTTCTGGTATGTTTGATGTTAATGTATAAGCAATAGATTTTTTTAAATTATCAAATATTAAACGACCTTCTTCAACACCAGTAACAATTGATGCAAAATTATCATCAAGTAAAATCATATCTGCTGCTTGTTTACTAACATCCGAACCTGCAATACCCATAGCAACACCAATATCTGCTTTTTTTAATGCTGGTGAATCATTAACACCATCGCCGGTAACAGCAACAATTGCACCTTGACGTTGACAACCTTCGACAATAATTAATTTTTGTTGTGGTGATGTACGAGCAAAGACAATTTCGGAATGATCACGTAATAATGAATCGATTTCACTTGGTGCCATACTCTTTAAATCATTACCATGTACAACACATGCTTTAGCATGTGTTGGATCAACTTGTTCAACAGGAATATTTAAACGTTGAGCTATATCTTCAACTGTTTCTTGTGCTTCAGATATAATACCAACAGCTTTAGCAATAGCTTTTGCTGTTATTGGATGATCACCAGTAACCATAATTACTTTGATACCAGCTGAACGACATTTAGCAACGCTAGAAAAACAAAAACCGAATAACATACGAAATAATTTTATTGTTTGATTTCTTAATACATACGCTTCAGGTACAGCAGCACGTGGTGGATCAATCATTGACATGAGACCAAGAAATCGTAAATTAACAACAGGAAAATTAACTTCATCCGAATCAAATGGAAATCCACGTGGAAAATCATTAGCTGGTAAACGTAAATCACAAAAACCTAAGACACGTTCACCAAGACCACCTAATTCAAGATATGCACGATTAAAAGCTGTTTTCCAATCTATAAAATATCCAAAACAAAACAATTTCTTATAGAAATTTAATTCAAATATTTATTTTCTTACAATCATTTAATTCAATATCTGTTCCATCAATATAAATTGTTGTACATCGTTCAAGTATACGTTCAGGTGCACCTTTCATAACCAATAAATATCGATCATCACCATCTTGAGTTTCATGTATTGATACTTGATATTTATTTGTTGAATTAAATGGTATTTCACTTATTTTTCGATTTTGTTCACGAAATTTAATAACATTACCAATCTAAATGTTAAATAATAAGATTAATATATTGATTATTTTATTATGTGTTTTCTTTCTTACTGATAATTCAACACATTTTAATAAAGCAGATTCTGATGCATCACCATTACATTCTCGTTGTAAGACATTTTTTTTTAAATTGTCTTGATCTTGTTTAAAATCAGCTCGGTTACATAACATAGCACAACGACTAAGAGCAAGCTACATAAAAAAAAAGTAAAAATTTTTTAATCATAATTTTAATTATTTACCCATCCCGGTGAAGTTTTATCATATGTTGCATCTAAATAAAATATAAGTGAAAATGGGAAAAGACGAAGCACTTTCAAAACTTACTCTGTTGATTATCTGTTGTGTCAGCTTCAACAATTCGATTGTCAAACCACATATGAGCAACAGTCATTCGATTTTGTGTTAATGTTCCAGTTTTATCCGAACAAATTGTTGACGTTGAACCAAGTGTTTCAACGGCTTCTAAATTTTTAACAAGACAATTTTTCTTTGCCATACGTTTAGCCGTTAATGTAAGGCATACCTAAATTTAATAATAACTAAATAAACACGAAATCTTCTCAAATCAATAATAACTTACAGTTACAGTAGCAAGAAGACCTTCAGGTACATTAGCAACAATAATACCAATTAAAAAGATGACTGCTTCTAGCCATGGATAACCAAGAACAAAAGCGATAATAAAAAATGAAACACCAAGAAAAACAGCTACACCAGTAATTATATGAATAAAATGTGCTATTTCACGTGCTATTGGTGTTTCACCCGTTTCCAAACCTAATAATATAGATGTTTTGTTTTGTTTTGTTTTTTTTATTCATGAAAAATTTATTTTACTCGAAGCTAAATTTGCAATACGACCCATAACAGTTCGATCTCCAGTTCGTACAACTAATCCAAGGCATGTACCTAGAGGAAGAAACAAAAAAATAAAACATTATCGAATTCGATATTTCTCAATTCGTTGTGTTTCTTTTTGTTTTCATCTAACCTTCAACAGCAAATGTACTAAAAAATGCTAAATTTTTTGTTTCAAGTGGATTTTCATTTGTAAATTCAGGTGCACGTGATTGTGGTTCTGATTCACCCGTTAATGATGAATTATCAACTTTAAAACCATGTGCTCGCAATACACGAATATCAGCTGGTACACGATCTCCAAATTTAACTTCAACAATATCACCAACAACTAATTCTTCAGCTTTTAAATTTCTTTTTTCACCATTACGAATTGCTAATGCTTGCTATAAACATGAAAATATTATTTAAAAAAAAAATCTCTTTTTTTCTGTATTTCTATTTGATATACATACAGGTGGCACCCTAAAATAAAAATAGAATACGGTTTTAAGTCTAATATTTCTTTTTTTTTTTATAAATAACATACATGTTTTTAAATGATTCCATAATTCTCGAACTTTTGGCTTCTTGAAAATATGAAAAGCAACCAGTAACAAATACGACAACTGTTAATGCAACACCAAGCCACAGCTATTTATAAAAAAAATATATGGACTAACGAAAATATAAATTCTTTATCTTACATTGTCATTTGCTGCTTCTTCATATGTTGCCACACTAATACCATGTGCAATGAAACATAGGATTGCACCAAGCCATAATAACATAGCAAAACCACCAAACATTTGACGACAAAATTTGACCCATTCAGGTATTGTTTTAGGTGGTGACAATGCATTAGGACCATCACGTGCAAAAATTTCAGCTGCTTTTGCATCTGTTAAACCCTATTTATATTTATATAGAAATAGAATAAGATGATGAATGAAAATTGATTTATTTCACTTTGTCTGGATCAGTTCCATATCGTCGATAAAGTTCTTCAGCCGATACTTTATGATCATCCTATGAAATTAATAAATATAATTTATATGTTAAAATTAATTTTCTATTACGATTTCAAGTTCACGTTTAAGATCGTCAAGATCATGTTCACCTTTTTTTCCCGATTTTGCCTTTTTATCTTCAGCCTAGAGTGTTCCAAAGAACAGAAAAAAAAACAAGAAGAAACTAAATATAACGGAAAACAAAAGAAAAATATTATTAAATATTACCATTGTTCAGCGAGATAAAATATAATATGTTGAAAAGGTTAGTACTCGATCTAAACTAACGATCGAGATCTAAAAATATTCGATAAGACAAAATATCTAGAACAAAAAAAAAAAAGAAAAAGAGAAAAAGAAATAATGTATTCTTTCTTTCCATTGCTGATTTGAGATGATGATGGTGGTATTGTTGATGCGATCGATCGCATCCAGACGAAGAAAGAAAAAAACCTAAGAGCTGTCGAGAAATATTCTATAGCTTTTTCTGCTATAAGCGAAACAAAAAACGACAAATGACGTCATCATAATAAGGAATAAAGTTGATATTGGACTCGCTAATTAAGTATTATAAAGCAGAAAGTTTTGTTGTTTTTTTTTCGGGCTAACAAATATTTATGAAACTCAAGGTAAATCATACAGATATGCATTGCTCAAAGTCAAAAAGGTGATCTTACTCGTTTTTCTCTTGAGGTTCTTTTCTTATCTCAGTTGGATTGATCATTACCGCAAAAAATGCGTATACAAGCCATTGAATGCATTGTTTTTTTTTCTCTACTACTTACCTTATTACGGAAATAGAAAAAAAGAGGAATTCAAGCAACTGATCTATTCTTATTTTCACGCGAACATCTTTATTGAACTAATTTTCCTTTCATACTTATTAACGCTAACATGACAAGTACAAAGATCAACATAAGAAAACAATTGTGATTAAGTACTAACGTAAGAAAAAAAAAACGCCCAAAGAAAACAGTCCATGACACTTTTCTCATGTTTATTGATGCAAGAATGAGATAAAAAAATTACATTTGTACTAAACAGGGACGAATATAAATTCAAATATTTACGATTACAAAGACGAACGCCGAAGCTTTTTCTGCGTCATTGCAAACTGATTTTGCTCATAAAACACATCACGCTCGTGTTATTTTATGATCTTCATGATAATAGATTTTATTTTCAAGGCTTGTATATCTGATATGGATACAAGTTTTCGATCTTTACAGATGTTTGTTGCATGTATGTAGTCCATTTTATCTTCTCCAGGACAAACAAAACGCGTTGCTATAATAAGAAATGTCGGCAGAAAAAAACGGGAGAGAATACTAAGCAAACGCACGCATCAACACGCATATGTCATTTCTTCGACTCGTAAATGTGCAAGTAACCCGCTCGGAGAATAGAGGAAATAGTGTCCTGTTCTCGATCGAAAGTCATCATATTCGACAACGAAAGAAAGAAAAAGAAAAGATAGAAATAGAGAACAAGACTTTTTTTTTCTTTTCTTGATTAAATGACTTTTGATCCAGTTTTCTTTATCATTAAAACTATAATCGAACGATAACGAGAAACTTATGCAGTCAACATAAACAATAGATATATCTCGATTGACAGATCATGATCAACATCTGATTTTTTTAACTATTTCATTGAATCAATACTAAATAGTCAGTTCTATTGATTCCATCTATTTAATCAATAATGCTTAAATGCTTTAACATGATCGAAAAAGAAATATTAATACGTTTTTTTTTTATTTGTGAAGATTAGAATTATTTTGACTAGAAGAATAATAAACCTTTCTACCTATTACAATCTCTAATGATTATAAATACTTTTTTCTTTTCTTTTCATTCTCTACAAATGCAAACATCTCACTCAAAATGTTTAGAGAAGAAAAACTACAAATCAACTTACGCTAAAACATTTACACTTACGTTAATTCATCTATTTAGTATATAAAACATCATTAATATACATACTATGATGGTGAACGTAAATTTTATTTCATATTAAATCACAATAGAAATAAAAGAAGACTATCAATATAATTATTATGTGAATTGTTTTACTTTTCAATAACTAAACGAATATTGTACAATATCTTTCAAACAACGATAATAGTTTATTCCAGCTTATCAATCTATATATCAAACTCTGTCACTATCTTGTGTCAGTAGAAATGGCAAAAAAGAAAACAAACGAAAGAAAAATAGAAAACATACGATCTTGTCATACTGGATAGATTCATGACTATTATTGTTCTTCTTGTTAACAAACGACGATATAAAGATGATAACGCGGAACTAAACATATGTGAAAGAGAGTCAAACTGATGCGCAAGTGTGGTCGTTTCCCACATACACATACACACACACACACACACGGCGTTTTACATCATTGCCAAGATACTATGCAGCTTCTCTCGTTCTTTGTATTCTATATTTTTGCTACCGACAATAGTGCGCGTTCGGCAGCAACAACGACGGCCAATCTTCACGCACACGCATAAGCTTTTTGCTTGTGTCGCTCGACACTGTTCGCAATAGCAAAGCGAAAAAAGCCACCATCACATACCAAAGTCTTTTTTATCAATAGCGAAGCGAAGAACTGTGATGATAGTGTGATAGCGGCATTAAAGTAGGGAGGAAAAAAAGAGAAAGAAGAAGAACAAGAACAAGAAGAGAAAACGAGAAAGAAAAAAAAAAAGAAGAAATCCAGCCTACAAATTTTATAATATGAAACGCACAAAAAAAAAGACAAGTGTCGATGGTAAGGATATAGAAAGAGAGAGAGTAAGATAAAAAAAAAAATAACCGATTGCGAAAAAGAGAGAGACCTTGAGAGAATCAAGTAATTCAGTAATCTGATATTTTAAAACAAGATACGTGTTTGACTAGACAGTACTGTACAATACAATAAAAGAAAAAAAATCAAAAACAACAAGATAAGCATAGATTTGATCACATCAAGGTGTATTTTCAATTAGGAAATAGATCTATAAAGCAAGCATAAAAAAAAGAAAAAAAAAGCAAGTAATCATGAAATAAAAGTAATCAATATCCTACCTGTATAAGCTGGTGGCTCATCTGTAGAAGTTATTACTGTTGATTGAACAAGATTAACTCTTCGATCATCGTTAGATTGTAATGTATGTTGAATATTTTTCGTTCGATTTATAGTCTCATTAGAAATTTGTGATGTTGATGATTCTGATAATTGTAAATGGTATCTATCAATAATCGATGATTCAAACTGATTTTGCACCGATGCAAAATGTCGATGTTGATGATGACGATAGTATTCACGAATACAATATATAATACATGTTATTGAAACAATCGAAACGATAAGAACAATTAAAATCGTTTGATTATTTTTCGATGACTTGTTTTTGTCAATAGGGTGCAAATCTAAAGAAAGAATGTAACATTTATCCAAGCTCAAATATTTTTCTTTTATTTAGTTGATATTTCATTTTATAAAAAAAAAAGGAAGAAAAAAAAGAAAGCGAATAAATTTTATTACCTGATAAGACAGGAACCGTTATATATGGTCGTTCTTTTCGAAGCCAACAATTACATTTAAATGTAAATTTAATATGATCATGATTGTTTTCTATGATAATTCGATCCAAAAGCCAATCAGATTGAAATGATGGAAAATTATCACGTCGAATCTGGAATTCCAGAATTTAAAAAATTAATTAAAATGAAATTTCTATTCGAAGTAGATCAGACAGTTTCAAAAATGCTTTTAGCAAAGATCAATCCTTAAACATTATCATTCACGGAATATTTCTATGCTTTGTAGCAGGACATTTTCATGATTATTAATGAAATTATAAGATAAATGCTCGGGTTTTTTTTCCTTATTATGATAATTTTTAATATCTTGATTGAACGATTAAGTCAAAGAAAAGACTTGACCTAAATGTTACAAAAAAAAACTACTAGAGAAATATAATTCTAAACAAAAAAAAATAAATTGAAGTACAAACAATACAATATGGAATATTTTGAAACTCGATAAAGCTTTTTTGAAATCGAGGAAATTCGTATTATTCCAGTTTATAACTGCATTATTATAGATTTATTTCGAAATAATTTTAATAAATATATGAAAAAAAATATGCTTTTGATCGTCGATATTGTATTCTATATAGAATAGCATTAGACAATATCAATATGAATTATGAATGAAAATACTTTGATGATTAATTTAAGTGCATGTAATCCTTTGTATATTCATATATTCTATTAAATAAAATATTTATCGTTTATAAGGCAATATTTAATATAGTTGTAAATTGTTTTTTTTTGCAATTAATTCGTTATTTTTTATATATTTTGACAAAGTTAATTTATAATTCTAACAATTGAATTACATATCGATCGAATGACTATGCAACTATTGTTGTAGAACAGTCGAAGTTTAATTAAATATATTCTATTAGAAAATCCCTAGAATATAGTTTTATAGTTGAATTAGAAATTCTTTCAATGATTTCTATTGTCTATTCATTAATCATCTTTTTTGTGATTGATGTAGTCGAAAACTAATGTTTTTACAGCCATACGTATGAGTAACGCTATTGTAGCATATGGAATGAAAATAATATAGTACATCTGCTGAGCATGTAAATAGAACAAGAGAAAATGGAATTATATCACACTGAATAACATTTTCAGTGAAAAATGTTGTAAATCGATACAAATGTTATATCACAAGAAAAAAGAAAGTATTGGAATTTTAAGATAATTTTGATTATATTCATGTTTTAGCAAATTTTAATAATTGTAGTATCATTCTATTAAGAATATTATTTTTATGTTTTAGTTCATATAATTCCTAGGAGTAATAGATTTTGGCATGAAAACATCTAATTAAACAAAAGTTTTGTCATAATATAAAATTTCAAATAAATTCATTTTGCTTTTATCTTTTTATATATTTTCTGTCAAAGTTATTTTCATAACTTGATCATAGGAATGTGTAGCGTTAGTGTAAATGCTGAAATATTGAACAGTGAGTCCCAAACAGAGAGCTCACTGGGATACTAATTACACTCACACATTGACATCTGAATGTGCTGTAAAGTCAAGGCATAAACTTTATCAAAAGATGACTTTTTTTGTAGCAATATATACTAGCGTTTCAGTAAACACTAAGTGCATAGTCAATAGACTAAAAACTGCACATCTCTATGAGATCAAATAACAAGTAAATTCTATGATTGACTTAAGTCAGTATTAATAATTTAAATTATTTTTTTCTTTCTGCATATATAAAAAAAACCGCGTTCTTATATCTTCTGAGAAAAAAAAATACCATCTGCTATATGTGCTTATGATGTTTTATATTTACTATGATAAAATAATGTTAGCTAGAGCCTGTCGAGTCAGTTCCGGATCCGGATCCGATGAACTCTATTGTCAACACAATCTAAACTATTAAGTTGTTGATTGTACTACATTCATTCATTTAAAATTTACTTGTTTTAAAATGTTTCAAAACATTAAAAAAAAAACAATTTTCTTACACGGATTTTCTCTACAAATCCAAGTTTATTGGTGAAAATTCGAAATCGATCATGTCCACCATATTCAAATAAATTTTTTAATGGAAAAATAGTATTGCCAAGTATCCAATTCTCATGCGTTAATTTATATTCACTAGTATAACCATATTTTGAATCAAATAAACGAATAAAAATATTAGTATCAGTTCCAGCAAAACGTTCATTGCCTGTATATACATGAATAATCCATTCTATAGATAAATAAGAAACTGAATAAAATTCAAACTCAAATAAAAAAAAAAACGAATTTACCTTCACTCAAAGAATACGAAAAAATCGAAAGTATGTAAATTAATATGAATAACATGAGAATATTTTCATCTGAAAAGAATATTTATTTCATCGATGTTCTATTGATGATAACTTGTTATGAGAAATAAAAACAAAACAAATAAATCTCAAAAAAAAAACCCTTTTAAAATAGCAAGAAAATATTCATATAGTTTCATCTGAATACCATTCAGATTGTAATAGATCACTTCGACACATTGGACATTTTGAATTTTTCTAAAGTTTAAAACAAAATTTTTTTTTTATTCAAACTTAATATAAATAAATTTATAACCTTAAGCCATTTATCAATACATTTACTATGAAATCTATGTAAACACGGAATAGTTCGTAGTTTATCATCTGGTTTATATTCATTTAGACAAATATCACATAGAACACCAACTACTGATGCGTCTTCAGCAGTTGTTGTTGGATAACATTCAATTAAATGTTCCGGTAAACCTAAATCAAGAAAACTATCGTCATTATCATCAGTTTGATCTAATAAACTATGATTTTCTTGTTCAGAATAAAAATCTCCTTCATCATCAGTTTCCCAACTAAAGGCAAAAAGTAAATACGTTTTTTTTTTTCTTGAATACATGAATAATCTTCGAACAAACCTATCACTTTGATCAGCTAGAGCAATATCGATTTCTTCAATTTGTTGAGATGATTCTGATACACCATCTATAGTCAGATAAGAATACGAATATTTTAAAATACATTTTTCTATGAAATCATACTTTCTGATTGTAATTGATTCGTTGAATGATCTGTTGAAAGTGGAATTTCTTGAACACTTTGATTATTAGTAGACATTGTGTGGTTTTCGGAAAATAACTTCAGAAAAAAATACTATTAGTTCATGAGTCATAAACGTTGAGAATGAATGGATAGCTCTGTTAGTCTTCTTTTTCTATCTATTTTGGGTATATAGAAAACATTCGACAGATGTCGATAATAAGCAATCATTCGTCTTCAGACCCTTTCTAAGGATCATCAGAATATGACTTGTTAAAATAGCTGATTTAATTACTTGAGAAAGCTCATTCTTCGTTTTGTTCCTTACTTACTAAACATTTGACACCGACACCGAATCAAATAAACAAATCATGGGATTCAAGTCACGAGAAATCCTCTGAAGATGTTCCTTTTTGATTTCTATAATTTGTTTTTCTATAGGTATTACATGATGTTCTAGTAAAAATCTTAAAATAATTTGTATCCCCATTAATATTTGACTAAGTTATTGAATTCGGAAAACTCGTCTTTTCCAATTTCAATCTGGAAATTTGCACGTATATAGAATTCTACTAGACTAAATTTCATAAAAGAATTCACAAGTTTTTAACAAAGTTGTTTTGAGATATGAGACTTCGAAGGTATAAAACCTTTTCCATGAATAGTGTATACAGCATGCAGTTTGAAAACTTTTTATCTCAAAGATACTTTGCTCAAAACTTGTGAATTTTTTTATAGAAGCTAGTCTAGCTGACTTCTCTAAATGCGCTAAGTTTCAGATCAAAGTTCGAAAATACAACTTTTTCAATAATCTGCTCTAGAAAATAGACATATTAAAGATTCGATAACTTACGAGGGAACCACCCCAGGTGCTAAAAAGCTTTTGAGCTCAAACTTGGTCCATAAGTGAGGTCTGTATAGACTAGCAACACCCTGAGAGGATTCGGTCGCAAGTTGCGATTTAGCTGAGATATCGACTTTTTAGCCGTTCCCATAGAAAATATCATAAAAATAGGTAGTATTTGGAGATTTTTCACTATCTAAGGTGAAAAATAAGTATGATATTTGGAATCGGCATGCAAAAGTATACCAGGAACTCTGGTTTTCATCGTAAAAATTTTCCATTAAAATTTGGACCTCTAGAGGGATACAGGTTAAAGTTATAGGAATAAATGGCTGAGGGAGAATAGAGGTCAAAATTTTGACGAAAAATTTTTACGATGAAAACCAGAGTTCCTGGTATACTTTTACATGCCGATTCCGAATATTATACTTATTTTTCATACAAATAGACCTTCGATAGTGAAAATCTCCAAATACTACCTATTTCTATGATATTCTCTATAGAATGACTTTTCTCTGAAATACTAAGTACCTTGCTAATATTAAAATGTTCAATGCCTGGCTCACTGATTTCATATCTCTACATAATCCTTGATCAAAAGACAGACAAAGGGAATAAAACTGTACGGGAAGTAGAGGTGCCAGTTCCTTTGATTTTGGCGGAAAATGGGGTCCTATAGGAAAAATTACAGTAAAACGTCGATATCTCAGCTATATCCCAACTTATGCCCGAATCCTCTTAAGGTGTTGCTAATCTATACATCCCCCACTTATGGACGAGGTTTGAGTACAAAAGCTTTTTAGCACCTGGGGTAGTTCCGTCGTTAGAGAAACACAAATTTTTTGATGATTTTTATTAGAAAAACGATGTAGTATCTGTAGGCAGAAAGTCACTGAAATAGAACGGGGATATTTGACAAGGCTCCCTTGTCAGTCAAGTAGCATCAAATTACAATTTGAGTATTTTATAAAATAGGTCGAATCAAATGGGATACTTTTATTCGGTTCGTTCTTTTAATCACAAAATCATCGAAAAAAAAAGAGAAACGATCAAAAACAGAAGAAATTGAAATGTATTCAATTAGAGTTTGATATTTACGAACAAGATAAAGATAACCAATTATCTTGTAAAAAAAAAGCAAGTTCTAAATATAAGTATCATCTTTTGCTGAAAGACAGTTCTCATTATTCTATTTGAACATTCATTGAGTAATAGTTGAACGTGATCAAGCCAAAGAGAGATTGAACAAAAATCATCTGCTATGAACACCAGATAAAAAATCCAGAACAATGGCTTGAACTTTTAGATATGTATGTGTAATTGATGTTGATTAGATTGACTTCATAATTGTTGTGTGAAACAGAATATTGATTCAAATGAGGTATACACATACAAAAGAAAAGAACAGCAGTTTGGAAGTTATTATCAAATTCATGACATAGATGCGTATTTAAAATAAAATATTCCTTGAAAGGTTAAACTATTTTTTGATAGCTAGTTATTTACACACTCATAGCAATCTTTTACTATGATATGTTTAATAATAAATCGGTATATGTGCATTAGAAAAAAAATTCATATTTGTAAAAATTTCGAGATTGTTCAGTGATTTCTTATGCACCTTTTCAATTTATTCCTTTCAAATGAGTTTTTTTATTGAGAAAAACGGTTTTCCTTTTATTATACGGATTTTTTAATCTAATTTTCGCAGCAATGTGTTTTTGTTCTTACAGTTCTAATAGATGCACTCAATGCATGAAATTCCTAATCTTCCAACCATCAGTTCTATGATTGTTCTTGGATTCATTAATATCCAAATATCATGAGCAATTTTACAATTTAAAATTTAATTTGTATCGCACTGTTCATTTTAAATAAATGTCCTTTGAATTTGTATAAATCAATCAAATGTAGAAAAGATGATTAGGACAGGGAAATAGAAAAACTAGCATCTCGATTAGAAAAGAACATGAAAAAGCAAGTAGTACGTAATATACGCGAATATTAAGGATACCCTTGATCTATACAAGTATGAATCAAATCGAATCTGAATGATAATTGTCTTATTCATTTCGACCTATGAAAGAGTGTAAATGTTTGATATGAGATTTATAAGTGCGGAGTTGTTGTGGGTAAGATATAGTTCTCCTCTATATCCTCACAACCTGCCGAATCCATATCTACACTTACGTCCAGAGATTCCGATACATATACAATGAACAACTATTTTAAAAGTAGACATATACGAAAATTGTAATCATGATTATTTTTCATTTCTGACTAAAGAAAAAAAAAACTGATGTGAATAATAACAATAGACTAGTTACAAGAGTAAAATATCACATTATTATTGAAGAGTATATAATCATATTATCAATAGAAATTGTATACAGGAACAAAAAGAAAAAAAACAATTCATCACGTGAAAGTTTATTATTATGGAGGACAATATGTTCAACCATTTGATGATTATTGATTCGATGGCGTTCGACAAACGGGACACAAACTACTAGTCTAAACATAGGATAAAACACCAAAGTCAAATAGATTTTAAAATGAAATACAATTAGAATTAACTTACTTTTAACCAATTATCTATACAACTTTGATGATATCGATGAAGACATGGTAATCGACGTAATGTCTGATTTGGTTCAAAATTATCCCAACAAATACTACATTGATTTTCTTCAGCAGTTGTATTTGCTGAATGACGAAATTTTTCAGTTGGTAATGTATTAATTTGATCATTGGATAAAGCTTGTTTATTAACTGACGCATCTAGTTCTAGTAAATTCTAAAAATGAAAAATATGAATCATAATTTAATATAATTTAATCCGTAAGAATTTACTTCATAATCATCTGGACCAAAATCTTCTTCAGTATTTTCAATATTTCTATTTCCATGACCGCGGAAACGATGAGAACCACGAAATGATTGACCACGAGAGGTAAAAGCTCGTAATAAAGATACAAAATTATTGTTAACATGATTATTATTTCCACTGGACGAAGGAAGTTGATTTGTAGGATTAAAAAAAGGTGGATTAGTTACACTTCTAGATGCATTAGATTGAGGATTTCGATTAATTGTTGAATATGGTATTCGTCGTTGGTTATCTTTCTGTTGTTGTTGTTTTTTATTTTCGTCTGCTTGTAACTGTGCTGCTAATTCTGCATCACCAGCTATGATATCATTACCAAAATTGACAATAGCGTTTGATGCTGCTCTATCGTTTAAATTTTGTTGATATGATAAAAATGGTGTAATACTATTTTTTGAGTATTCTTCTTCTTGAAGTTGAAGAGCATAAGCTGCATCAGCATCGAGTTCTTCTAATGGTCTCATATCAATTGAAGTCATCACTTCGGATGATGGTTCAGTAGTACGACTTATAGTATCATAAAAAAGTTGTTCCTGATATTGCTGAGCTATTTCTTCATCATCGATGTTGTTTGACGCAACCGCAGTATTGATTAAAGACTAAAAAAAGAATTGAAAACATATCAAAGCAAAATTTTTTATTGATTATTTTTGTAATAAGAAAAATATTTTTTAATTTATTCTTTTCAAAAACTTACAAAGAATTGATCCGATTGAAGCTGTTTTGGATATTCACTATAGATCTTCGTCATTGGAGATAGAGACCTTCTATTATCGGTCATTATATTTGAAAGTACTGACAGGAGAAAAAAAGAAATTCTCAAAACACGTATAGGCAACTGATTCACGATGAATTATTTTTTCTTTTAAATAGCATTGCAAAAAAAAACAACGATGAATCAACAAACACACGTCAGAAAGAAACGGAAGGAAAAAAACTTACCCCGTTGTTATAATTCTGATTTGAACTGGATGAGTTGTAAAAAGGTGTTTCAAAGTCATCATATTCATAGGGTCTTATGATTGATTGATGACGATTGCGGTCAAATGACATACCAAATAAAACAAATGAATATTTCCTATTTATAAATTTTATCTACAATTTAACAACAAAAAAAAACAAAACTTTCATTCAATTTTAAACTATCAATTTTGTTCGTCATTTTTATGATTGATCAATTATTTTTCTAAATAAGTTGTTTTCAATCGTATAACTATTCAACATGCATTATAAGATTCTCTAATGATACAATAAAAAGTATTTTAATTAAATGTATACATTATTGAAGTAATTCTAGAAGCAATATATACAGAAATAAGTCTCAACTCGATTAAACTTTATGATAGA